TGAAAATTACATGCATCGTAAATCTCGCCAGTTTTGACACATTACTAAATCACCATTCACTGCGCTTTATGTAATTTATGGTAAAATGTCAAATTTTACTGGGAGAATTGAATTTAAAAGAAAAAAGATGTATCATTGTGATCAGCAGTAGTTTTGTTGTTGTATGATCAATCACCAATGCTCGCTCTGAAACATTATCAATGAACCGAGAATCGCTGAGAATGTTTTGGAAAAATACGCAAACGCCAAAGTGAAGTTTCAGCCATATTACATAGTGTTTATAAAATCACGCCACATGTATGTCGGTTATGTTTCTCATTCATAAAATTCAACACCATCTTCCTTACATGAATCCCTGAATTCCTCATACAGTTCAAAAATAAACTGACAAATGGACTTTGTCACCAATAATGGTGTTTCAGTGAAATCTAACGAAATATATCAAGATATGAGTTGCCGTGGCTGTGAAAGAATACTTGTTTGAAATGTATACAAAGCCAATCTCAGATTTTACACTGTGTATCCGTCACTTCTACTTGTTGCATACAATTGCTCATTAGTTTTAGAACATGCATGGAAAGGTATCGTGAGCGTTTATAGTTAAATAAAACAGGTGTATGCCAATGATTTTCTAGATTCATCACAACATATTATAGTTTTGAAAGCATGACGCCATAACTGACGAAACTCACTTAATCAACGATGACGGTACTTCTCTTAATTTCTGACTATTTCCCTTGGTCACAATGAAAACAAAAGAAAATAACAACCAGCAGACTGTCAGAAGTTTCGACTGCTTACATGTCACATTTATGCATATACGCTGCTTGAAACAACGAAAATGTCCTTCAAAAACTCGCGGTCAGTGAACACGCCATTTCAAAAAGTCGCCTCCTCGATAGTGATGTCATACGGACGCCAACATTGTTATACATATTTGGTATTTTCATTGAGGCGCAGGTTATGAATGAAAATACACACGACTAATCCGGCCCTGCTGCTTACATTTTCTGTTCTTATGCTTCTTCAGATTTTCACCTAACTTTTTTCACGGATTAATATCAGTATTATTATCTTTTGATTTGGGACTAGACAGGAGACCAGTTTAAATTCAAGTGGCACCAATTACGCCATAATCAAAGGGCGTAACTCTGGCCTGTTTAGCTCGGCAAAAATACCTCATATTGGCATAACATTTCAGCACTTATTTTGAGGGTTATACTTTACGCTGTAAGAAAAATGAGTGTATATTTTCAAACATTGGTATTAACTAATTAAAAACAGTTCACTTTGATTCACATAAGAATAAATGTGATTTATTCGCGGTACACTTGCCCTTTAACAATGTCATTATTTAGCATTGACGGAATTTCTAACTGTGATATAGATATGTCCTTGTCACAGACAAAACTCAATGTCTTGTCTTTGTCACCTATGTGTCTGCCTGTCTGCTAATGACAATATTCAATACACAACTTCGATCACTGACCACATGCAATTTGCACTTAACACCTATCAGGCTATACACCATAAACAAAACACATTGATTTATGGCCCAAGTTCGGTCTCTGTCACATTATGTAATTACACAGACAGGCAGGTGTGATACTAGTACACATGACATGTTATGATGTCTGTTGATTGCAAAATGTTATACACACAAAATAAGCATGTATTTACAAAACCCAACATCTTTATATACACATACACAATGAGCCGTGAGGGCATCGGCAAATGAACCAGCCAATGAAAGCCCTCCTTACACTTGAGTGCACACCCACCCGCTCTGACTGGGTTTGGTATCCCGGGTGCTTCGTTTCGTGGGAAGTAAACCCTAAGTACAAAATATTGCACTTTGCAATTGTACGCTTATAATTTTGTTTATATGTTTTTTCATAATCAGCAATGTATATTATATGTCATGAATAAGTGATAATTGTGTTTAATTATGTTTGATTTTTTGGTTGCATGTGACCTTTAAAGTGATTGGCTGGTATTGTTAGACTGATTGATCAAGTAAGAAAAGCAAAAGACAATTGCAAAATATAGGCTTATAGATGAGTGGGTACCTGCCAATACATTCACGTAACTCATATGTAAAAAAGCAATCAAACATGTTTGCATTGTTTTTTCACTCAAACTGAAAGGGGATTACAGGATGGAATTACCAGGCTAAAATCTAGTCCATTAACATTCACAAAGTCCTATTGACATTTTCAAGTCTTAAAAATTTGAAGAACTGAAAAAGGTGCACTGATCATGCCGATGTTTCATCCGATGTGTGTGATAAAAGCCATCACGGATCAGCAGTACATTGAACACATTCCAGCACAGGACAGTCAGAGACAGTGCATATAGCCATGCAGGTTTCCATTAGCTCACATTCATGCCATCACAAACACATTTCTTTCCCTAACCATGCTCACTAATGACTATCCTACCCAACTTGACACCTAGCATACTTACCAACATCACACATACCAAGCTTACCAACTTACCTTCATATCCAGGAAATCATATACAGTCAGCCACAGTCAGCTTTAGGCCACAGTCTGCTTTAAGCTACACTCTGCTTTAGGCCACAGTCAGCTTTAGGCGACAGTCAGCTTTACGCCACAGTCAGCTTTAGGGCTTTCACAGTCAGCTTTACGCTACAGTCAGCTTAAGGCCACAGTCAGCTTTACGCCACAGTCAGCCAGTCAGCTTTAGACCCCACAGTCGGCTTTACGCCACAGTCAGCCAGTCAGCTTAAGGCCACTGTCAGCTTAAGGCCACAGTCGGCTTTACGCCACAGTCAGCTTTAGGCCACAGTCAGCTTTACGCCACAGTCAGCCACAGTCAGCTTAAGGCAACAGTCAGCCATAGTCAGCTTTAGGCCACAGTCGGCCACAGTCTGCTTTAAGCTACACTCTGCTTTAGGCCACAGTCAGCTTTAGGCGACAGTCAGCTTTACGACACAGTCAGCCAGTCAGCTTAAGGCCACAGTCGGCTTTACGCCACAGTCAGCCAGTCAGCTTAAGGCCACAGTCAGCTTAAGGCCTCAGTCGGCTTTACGCCACAGTCAGCTTTAGGCCACAGTCAGCTTTACGCCACAGTCAGCCACAGTCAGCTTAAGGCAACAGTCAGCCATAGTCAGCTTTAGGCCACAGTCGGCCACAGTCTGCTTTAAGCTACACTCTGCTTTAGGCCACAGTCAGCCAGTCAGCTTAAGGCCACAGTCGGCTTTACGCCACAGTCAGCCAGTCAGCTTAAGGCTGCTGTCAGCTTAAGGCCACAGTCGGCTTTACGCCACAGTCAGCTTTACACAGTCAGCTTTAGGCCACAGTCAGCTTTACACCACAGTCAGCCACAGTCAGCTTAAGGCCACAGTCAGCTTTACGCTACAGTCAGCCACAGTCAGCTTTACGCCACAGTCAGCTTTTCGCCACAGTCAGCCAGTCAGCTTTAGGCCACAGTTAGCTTTACGCCACAGTCAGCTTTACGCCACAGTCAGCCATAGTCAGCTTTTATGGCATAGTCAGCCATAGTCAGCTTACTTTATATATCACATCATGATGCACAGTATTCTAATGTGTAAACTTATGTGAGCTGTTGATTACCGACTGTGACTACCTCCTATCAAATATTCATTGACATAAACATGTTATGGAGTATTCTGGTGAAAGAATGAAGCAAATGTAAGGCACAATGAGACAAACACAAACATGCCATAGGCTGACTGTACAACTAGAGTTAGTTGTTGTTACAAGCTATACATGTGAGAAGTGTCAGGTATTTTAGACAAATGAAATAAGATAAGATAATTGCAGACTTTATATTCCAGCAATATTCCAGCGGGGGACACTAGAAATGGGCTTCACACATTGTACCCCTGTGGGGCCTTGATCAGTGTAACAGACCTCTTGACAATTTTAATGAAATTTGTTACTGGGTCAGTCAAAAATCAGGAAAAACGATACTACAACACATATTTCTTGTCACTTAAGACCGAACACCAGAACAGTAGTTGGTGTTGTCAGTGTACAACACTCCCCACCCTGCTGATGTAAGTACCAGACAAGCTCTCCACCCTGCTGATGTAAGTACTGGAAACACTCCCCACCCTGATGTAAGTACCGGACACGGTCCCCACCCTGCTGATGTAAGTATCGGATAAACTCCCCACCCTGCTGATGTAAGTACCGGACACTCTCCCACAGAGGTGACATATTCCTTGACAACCTACATCACTCCTCATGAGGACATGCTTGTCCTGGAACTGGAACTAGGCCTGTAAATAATGAAATCTGGACCTGAACAACCAGTGGTTGATCGAAATAACTTCCGGTCAGAGCTCGACACAATTCTGCAGTTCCGATGACAATTTACTCCTCACTCAAACCAGCAATGCACACAGGGCCCACCTGTGCTCAAACCCCAGTCAAACTAAACCATAAGCAGTGAACGTCTTATAACACTGGTCCATGCGTCATGCTACATACAGGCTTTAACTCCAAGGCAACGAAACAGTCACAAACACATGCTGGAACTGATGTCACACAAGCATGATGTATCTAGAAGATGGTTGCCCAGCTACATCAGTCAGCCCCAATATTTAGGAAAGATACTCCTGGAGCCGGATTGAATAAAGGGTATAACACCATAAGTGATTTTATGTCATTAATTCCAATGAGGGTCTTTTATTGTTATTTAATGAATGACAGATAATCTAAGTGTTACCTTTAATCTTTGTATTTTTAGAACATCAAAAGAGATGTAGGTTTCCATGTTTCCTGTGAACACATCAGCTCTTGGTATCTATTGTTGGATACTATTTTACATGAAACTGGCTGACATCATGAAAAATGGATGACATCTTTCATTATTTGCGACAATGTTTAACAAGACATTAAAAACTTTGTAAACAATTAAAACATTGATAAAATATGAAATATTAGTAATGCTCAGTCCAAAGCACTGAAACTAAAACCAGCAACATAGCTCTCAATTCTACCACCTACTTCTGCGTGACGTTCACCTCGGCCACCTCCCCTGCTTGACTGAACAAGTCTGTGATGTCCTGCAAAACACATAGAAACGCTGTTTTCTCAACCCGTGAAGATCTTAGAATTGATCTTCAGTAACCCATGCTTGTCGTAAGAGGCGACTAACGGGATCGGGTGGTCAGGCTCGCCGACTTGGTTGACACATGTCATCGGTTCCCAATTGCGCAGATCCATGCTCAAGCTGTTGATCACTGGATTGTCTGGTCCAGATTCGATTATTTACAGACCGCCGCCATATAGCTGTAATATCGCTGAGTGCGGCGTAAAACTGAACTCACTCACTCACTGTAATTACACAGAATCTGCATGAATAACAACTGCAGAAATGTTATATGATGTTGAATAATATATAAAAAATTATCGCCTGACCAAGCACAAGCCATGCAGCATGTCTAGTACTATTTTCAAGAGTATGTTATCTATCTCTGGTCTCTGTGAGATACATACATCTTTGTCTTTGCTGTCTGCCATTTCACTGTTGTAGCATACAGTGTATAGTCCACGGCTATTGGGGATCAGTTTCTTGCCGTCATTAGTGTTGTGAGACGAACCTGCAAAAACATGACTTCTTTACTTCAATGTACATAGATGTAAATGGACATTAACTGGTTTGCTATCCGAGTTCAACCTGTCTCTAACATAATCACTAAACAGACCAAAAAATATCAATCAAATGAAATTCCCCAAAAGAATTGAAAATTTTAATATAAATAGTATATTTATATACTTATCCTATCTCACGATTTGCACTTCTCTCTCTTGCTTCGACGCTGAGTGGAACGAATGAGAACTTTTCCTGTAGGCCTCTCTTGTCCATACGCCCGTGTTCCCCAGGCTGCTCTCCTTATAGGACAGGTCCCTAGTCCCCGGCTAAGCGTGCAGCACGTTCCCCTGTCTACCCACGTGACTACCTCAGAGTGATCATTCTCTTCTTGGAGCCAATGACAGTTATACGTAACCGTCGTAATCTGAGTAGAGGGGAGGCTGGGTGGGCATCTATCTTGTGAGATAGGATAAGTATATAAATATACAATTTATATTAAAATTTTAAAACTTATCCTATCTGACGATTTGCACTTATCCCACGGTTGGACGGCGGGTCACAGATTACCCTAAGTCAAAAGGCACTGACAGTATATACTGTATAGGCTAATGACAACCATACATAGCATTGAACAAGGGAGGCCGGATCTGACTAGCATAGTATGGCTTTTCCTGAACCCTTGGCTTACTAGGCATCATCGCTCTCAAGGAGTGGGTGCTCCTGAGCAATGTGGTGTTTGGCTGCAGGATCCGACTAGCATAGTACCTATACTAGTGATGGCTTCTCCTGAACCCTTGGCTTACTAGGCATCATCGCTCCCAAGGAGTGGGTGCTCCTGAGCAATGTGGTGTTCGGCCGCAGGATCTGACTAGCATAGTACCTATACTAGTGATGGCTTCTCCTGAACCTCTTGGTGTACTAGGCATCATCGCTCCCAAGAGTGGGTGCTCCTGAGCGATGTGGTTTTCGGCTGCAGGATCCGACTAGCATAGTAGTAGCTAGTACCTATACTAGTGATGGGTTCTCCTGAACCCCTTGGCTTACTAGGCACCATCGCTCCCATGGAGTGGGTGCTCCTGAGCAATGTGGTGTTCGGCAGCAACCCTCGCATACGCAAGAAAACGCAACTAGGCAAGTCACCTTGCTTCGCCACGATTTATCAGAGTACCCCTGTAATTACGACTAGTAATCGGGCCCGCACCTGCTTCGAGACAGCCCCACAGACCCCATCACGAAGAGGGGAAAAGGAAACTGAATCGGAAAACTCACAAGTTTAACGTTCAGTACCAAAACAACACCACATGACTTCCACTACTTACCACAGTTAGGTCACAACGGGGTGCTAAGGTACTTAGGAGCTAGAACGCTACGAAATCCATAAGGAAATCGGGAAGGACTCACTACACTGACATGATTGCTCCGTGAGTAGAGGTCAGCAAGCGAGATTGTCGAACACTTCTACATCCGTAGGGAGCAACGACAAAGTAGGCCAAGAACTACCAAGGTCACTACGTGCGATGGTTAGTTTGAACCCATTGACTTACTGAGCACAATTGCTCCCAGGGACCGGGACTCCCGAGCAATGTGGTGTTCAGTCACTACCTCCACGAAAGTGAAAGGACGCAGCTTAGCGAGTGTAATCAGTCGCATTACCACGATTTCCAAGGTACCCCCGTAATAAAAGTCTAATGACTAGTATCGTGCCAGCCCCTGCTTCGAAACAACCCCCACAGACACCGTCCTGAGGAGGGTGAAAGGATAATTGAATCGGAAAACTCACAATTTTAACGTTCAGTACCACAACATCATCTTATGACTTCCACTACTTACCACAGTAAGATCACATAGATGTGTATAGGTACTTAGGAGCATGAACGCTACGAAGTGTAACACTTCAGGAATGACTCACTTCACTGACGTCATTACTCCATAGAGCAGAGGACAGTAAGTGAGGTTGCGACTCTCCAGAGTCTCAAATTCAATTGAGAGGAGAAATCGAAGTCCCAGAAGAATCAAAGACACAAATCAGAAATAAAATTCAGAATTTTATTCAGATTGTACACAAAGCAGAAATGATCGCAACTGGTGATCATCTGCGCTGAAGCTGATGGTTGCCCTGAGTGACGAACAGGTCTACATCTGGTCGTGATAACAGGTAGATCTTCGATTGGAATATCAGAGGCATTTGTTCCCACTCTGTGAGTGACAGGGCATCAGCAATGACATTCCTCATCCTGGGAATGTGTCGGGCTCTGGCCACTGTGTTGAGTGAATCGATCAGATGATAAATTCCAAACATCAACTGAAGCAGAGCTGCTGATCCTGTCGACCCCTGATGGTTTATGTACAAAATTACCATCGAAATGTCTGATTGAATCAGTATATGAGTGAACCGTAGTTCAACTGCCCAATGCCGAACGGCGAGAATGACAGTGCTGAATTCCAATTCGTTGATATGAAGGGCCCTTTCTCCTGATGACCACTGCTAGGCCACTTGATGGAGAAAGTGAGCGCCCCAGCTTGAAAGATGTGTCGACGAACAGGTGTTGAGACTCCAATGCAAACATTCCACGTGTTGAGCCACCAACGAAAGACTGAATGTAGTTGTGCGGGAAGACGAATCAACTCCCTGGGGTTGTCGTCCTGGATGTATGGGCACAGAAACATCTGAAGAGGGCGAAGCTGCAGCTGGCCCCTGTATGTCAGTGCTTGTGCCGACGTCAACCACCCTAGTAACTTCTGCCACTGGCGAAAAGTTGTGGGTTGGACCAGCACTAGTGGTGCGTTGCACTGAATCTTGTCCCACCTCTCCTGGGGCACAAACATCATGACCTGTCGTGTTGAATATTGTCCCGATATAAAGAAATCACCGGGTCGGTTTTACCTCCGATTTCTCTGAATTCAGCAGCCATCCTAATTGCGCAAGCATCTTGATGATGAACTGCCTGTGGAGAGGAAGGACGACTGGATCCTGCTGGGCTTGAACACAGTCGTCGATATAGTTCTTGGATGTCACGCCTAGACAGGTAGCTTGTTATCGGATTGGGTATCTGAGTAAAAAGCTACGGGGCCATACATATGCCAACCAGCAGGACCCTCCATTGGTATCAATGACGCCCCTTGAAAGTAAATCGAAGATACTTCCGATAGTCTGGATGTATCGGGATGTGAAGGTAGGCATCTCGCTGGTCGAGGGAAATGAGAGGTCTAACAACTCTTGCCTCTGAGTTTGACAAAGAGATATCTCCTGAGGTAAGAACGTTCAATAAGTCGAGCTACTATGTCAGTTCTAACGGAGTGCTGAATGTAGTATGTTCGGCGCATGGAGATTGTCAGTCAATCTACAGGAACGTTCACATTGTAAATGAATTGAAGAAATTAGTACAATCGGCGACCTCAGGAACGTTTCGGTTGGCCGAACAAAATGATGATTCGCCAGGTGGAGTGAGAAAGGTAGTAGATCGCTGCCTGGTGACAGTCCACACATAACTGCAGTGATCTCTGAACTCAGTGCTTGAGCTAGTGTAGAAAACAGAGTAACCCCAGCAAAAGTCAAACCGTTCACAGGTGTTTCTGTCTGTCACCCTTGATAAGCAGTCTCTCTCGACTGGCTGTCGAAATCCCGACACAATCACTCTTACCAGGAATGGCACAGTTCATTGTTACTAGCATTTAAAGGCTGGAATTGATATCCGATTTGTGGGACCAAGACAAGTCTGCAAGGGCACTTCATAGTCACTCTAATCATCAAAACTCCGGTAAACAAACATTAGTCAGCCATTTGCAAACGTTACACACGAGTGACAAAAAAACGGACAACGCGGTCTTCGGTTAACCAGGCGAGTGGCAACCCATAAATTCCGGGTTGAGCTATGCTGGCTTTTTGACAAAACATCACTGCTGGTACCATGCGCAAAAACTTCACCCATCTGTTATCTGTCCAGAAACTTGCTTATCATGTAAAACAAAGGGAGCTGAAGATGACGAACCATCTGCAATAATTGCACCCAGCAATACACAAACACGCTGTTACCAGTAGTCTGTAGTAACAAGACTCAGTCAAGCGTCGTAAAGTATTCCTGGCTAGCAAGCTTATCTAGTAATGCCCTATCGGGTGGTTGTAGAACTGATATCTACACCGAAGGGTAGATTCGTTGAACCGAAATCATTCATCAAAAGTGAAGATCGGATGGTAGATTAAATCTGGAATGAGATGAGCCCCTGCCACGGAGGACTCTTGACTGACTGAGTTTGGTTTTACGCCGCTTTTAGCAATATTCCAGCAACATTACGGCAGGGGATACCAGAAATGGGCTTCACACATTGTACCCATATGGGGATTCGAACCCGGGTCTTCGGCGTGACGAGCCAATGTTTTAACCACTAGGCTACCCCATGGCCCCGAGGACTCTTGAGAACTGGGACCGTCAAGTGCTGTGTGTGATATTTCTAGATATGTCTAGCTACTACCTCTGTTCATCCGAAAAAGGGGTACAAGGTGGGATAAGTTATGTGACTAAAAACATTAAGCGCCGTAATGTAAACCGGATAAACAAATCAAATTGTCGAGCTTAGAGCTTGCCACTTTGTAATGAGGAATTCAGCGCCTCACAGATGCCCTGAAAACTAGGATCGTGTTGAAAACTAGCAGAGTTCGACAAATTTGGCCCTATCTAGATGCAAGTTCACAGACCTCGTTGAGGATGTGGAAAACCAGTGTTGACAAGTCCCGATCCTTCATGTTGAATGTAATCAATAGAACATCTGGTATCTTGCTCTAGGTAGCTGTAGGTGGTCGGCGAACCATGCGGTCATGTGTGTCGAATCAGCCAAAACCATTCCTGCATCTTATAGGCGACTGGCATAGCCCGAACCATGAAAACAAAGACGAGGTTCGATGTGGGTTAAGTGTCTTGGGAGGCATCCCAGACACATTTGGCATAGGCTCTGATAGGCTGGTAAGATGCGCTGTGTTGGAAATAACACGAGTGGTGAATCACCCAATTCGTGAAGAAGCTCAATTGCTGGCAAGGTCCGAGGAACGGATTACTGACGAATGCTGACAGTTCGATGAATGCTGACAATTCAGTGATCTTGAACGGCCAGGTGAACTGGTTCGGCGATAGGAAGCGGTTCGGCCTGGTGAAACGGTACGAGTCGGGCTGGTAAATCGGTTCAGGGTGGTGAGCCGGAACGTTGATGTGATCTGAATCAGTCCGTGATCTGGATCGGCGTTGTGATCTGGATCGGTAATCCAAAACGTTCAAATGATCTCAGCTGATTGAGAGATCTACAATGATCAAATGAACCGGTGAGGCAAGGTGAAATGTGAAATTGAATCGATGATGTGAACCCTTTCGGCGATAAGAAACAGTCTTAATATTATGGCAAATTGAGTCGATGTCGTAATCCACATCCGCCATGGCGAAACAGTTAGGTCTGGTGAATCCATTCGGTATGGCGAACCAATTCGGTGTGGTGAATCGGTTCGGCGATTTAATGATGTAGATCGGCTGTGTGAGTCGGCTGGCAACACAGAGCGGTTTGATGAGGGGGAACGACGAGTAGACATCTGATGATGCACTAATTAAATCATCACCGTCCGACATGGGAATCTCCGGACGACGAGCAGTTAATACTGGTCGTTGAAAGCGGGGGTTTGTCGGGTGATCAACTGTTGAAGTGTAACAAGCTCTCTCTGCCAGCCAACGGGAGCAAGCATGTCTACATGCTCTAAAAACGTCCTTGATAAGGGAGCACATTCCCGACAACGTTTGCTCCAGGAACACAGGTCAATACAACCCACACATGACAAGTGAGGATCCGAGGAAGTAAATATTGTTACAGTATGCTCAAAATTACGCTACTTAGGGTCAACTACCCATGATATATTTCTCATGTTAACTTGTAAGGAAAGCTGAGAACTTTCACAATATGTCCACACAGTGGTGCGACAAGAAGAAGAATGATCACTCTGAGGTAGTCACGTGGGTAGACAGGGGAACGTGCTGCACTCTTAGCCGGGGACTAGGGACCTGTCCTATAAGGAGAGCAGCCTGGGGAACACAGGTGTATGGACAAGAGAGGCCTACAGGAAAAGTTCTCATTCATTCCACTCAGCGTCGAAGCAAGAGAGAGAAGTGCAAATCGTGAGATAGGATAAGTTTAAAAATTACCATTTTTAATCAAACGAGCGAAATCTAGTTTGATACTAAATCTTTCACGAGTTTAATAAAATTGTATTTCACAGAAGCGAGTTTAGTATTCTGTTTATTACTCTCCAACATACATTGATACAAATTACCTACATAGTGGTGACACTCAGCTTTCCGCAAGTCAAGCAAGGTCTAATACCATTGTGACAGAGATATTGGAATTGTGACGTCATAACTGTAAATCATTATGACATCATACGTCTAGCGGTATTACACTAGTGTAATATTGCCGTAAAATATTACACTGCAGTATCTTCCACGGGTGAGTAATAAAGTTCTCTACACTGTTACTTCACAGGACACTCATATTGCCTGCAGGGACCACTAAAACTGAAAATTGGGAGTTACCGGGGAACCCAATGTTTGTCAGTTGAGGTACAACCTTGTAACATTCCTTAAAGTGAACCTAATGTTCAGAATACTGTCACTGTTGAATGTCTTGAAAGAGGTGTGTCTCTGTCCTTATATCTAGAACAGGCTCTTTACCAGGTTTACAAACAGTTACCCAAACCACATTTGGTAAGTAAATAAGAAACAAGTCAGGAATGAAACATCTAAAACCACCCCCATACTGCTCTCAAGTACATTCCACCAAGACACTGTCCCCTTTAGAAAACTCACCTCACAGCCATCAATGCGAGTTCAAATCTGTCCAGCATGGAGGGGTAGCCTAATGGTTAAAGCGTCCGCTTGTCATGCTAAAGACCCGGGTTCGATTTCCCACACGCGTACAATGTGTGAAGCCCATTTCTGGTGTCCCCCGCCATGATATTGCTGTAATATCCCTAAAAGCGCGCCATAAAACCAGACTCACCCACTCACCCAAATCTCTCCACAACTGCACTTGATGTCATTGAGTAGTCATTGAGTAGTATTTCAATTATTTGCTGCCAATCTCTAGAAACATAATTCCAATAGAACTACTTACATACCACATAATCAAATCCAGACCAAACAGACCAATGTTGACAGAATGAGCAGCAGTACGCTGGCACACGAACACCCATTTACTCCTGTAACTATCCAATCCTCATCCTTCAGGACAAGCATGAGTTACCATGGTCACAGGAACCTATTGAGCCACAACAATCATCGATATACTGACCATTTTTGTTCGTAAATCTGTTTCCCTTGGGCGTGTTGGAAGGATGTCCTTTAGGTATACTGCCTTGTGCCTTCTTGGCCGACAAGGACATGTACGTGTTTGGGTCCCCCACACCAAACATTCTGTAGGCCATGTCCTTGTCGGAGTACTCAAGTCTGGAATGTCAAAACAATTTAAAATCAAATTTGGACCAGATATCTTAACTTTTAAAATAATCAAAAGGGCCCTGTGTAATTCAGTCATCAAGAATGAGCCAGTCTTATTAGCTGCATGTATGTAATGGAATGGTCTGTCAACCTGTGACCCATCTTTACCAGTTTCCCCAAGGTTCCCATGGGACTTGCAGTCATAGGGAATGGCACATTATACAGGGTCAATTCCATGACAAACCAAAGATTACCATCACAATCATTTCACCAGATTCCATTTTGCAAATTTGATCTTACAAAATTGTAGGCATAAACAGGATCCCCCTTTCCAGCCAAACTGTATGATCATGACAATCATTATATCAAGAAATATTTAATTTCAGGACGGACAGTAATGTTTTCATTCATTCATGTATGCCTCCACTATCATTAGCTAATATCAATGGAAATTAGCATCAAACAAAACTCAGAAAGAGACTGTTTATCATGTTTATTGGAATCAAGCTCTCTGTTGTCAGGAGACTACAATGAATTTTGCAAGTAGGATTAGACATTACCAGTTGTGCATTTTGATTGTTGCCAATCTTGTCTACAATCATTCTGTGTACATGAATGGCAACTGAAGCCTTCATACCACAATCTCCTTGATTCACAATAAGTGTTGTGGTAAGACTGTTTTGTGCTAGCTGGCCCAGGAACGAGGAGGTAAGGAATTTTAAATGGTTACCCCCAGAGGTACAGATAAGCTGTGTATCTGCATAACGTACACAAATATAATGTGAAAACTAAATTCCTATTAAGTCTATTGTGTACAAGTACGCTTGAAGTTTTGTAAATACTCAATAAATTTGATCTTACATATGTACTCACAAAAATGTCAAATCTTAGCTTGCATACCGGAGAATTAGTTCCTGTAATTAAAATCTGAAAAATGATATAGCCTATCCTTGCATGGGTTCACCAGCTAGGTGAATGTTGTTATCACCTTTTGTTCAGTGACTCAAGGGCACATACTCTTTGGCAGTCTCTGTTACGCGACTTTGACGTCTATAAAACTGTCATTACTGATTTTACGGTGCTGTAAGGAGTACATCACCATGTGATTATGGAAAATTAGGATATCCAATTGAGATGAACACAAGCAAGAACATAATTCAATGATGCAAAAGGTTATCTGTACCCCATTTTGACACAGTATACTGCCTTCGAGCTGAACGGTCCAATATTTATCCCCTTAACGCTGAGTGAGAGGGAGGGTTACAAAAGATACAACCTTTTCACGTCTTATGGTAGGACGAAGTCTGGAATCAACCCTCCGAAACATTCAACTCCCTGGCCAGACACTCATGACCCCACGAGACCAGATTGGCAGTTCAACTTTCATTGGGACTAACCCAACATTCCAATAAAACTACTTGAAAACAGGACAAAGCGTACACATGGGCATTTGTACCCAAACTTTTTTGCTTACTCATACCCAAATGTTGGAAGTATCTTGGTAGACTTGACTTATTTGTGTAGATATGTGTACCATGTGACCCATTCAGGCTGACTGTAATATTTACAATGAACACACAAGGAATGTCAATATCATGTCACAATAAATAATCATTATTATCATTATTTAACTTTGCAAGGCTGAATTATCACTTGTCAGACACTAGTCCCGCAAAAATCTGGGCTAAAAATGAAGGGATTGATCATTCCTTTACCTTGCATATTCAGGGATAGCTTCAACAAAATCTTTGATATTATTGAATCCATAGTGCTCAATGAAGATTTTGCTGTTTATAAGGCGGCGATAGTCTTTCTTGAAGTCACTGACAAGGACTCCGCCACCTGTCTTGGACAAGAGTACAGCTCTGACATTCTTCTTCACGTCATCAGGAATACCACTACTTGACATGATGAAGGACAAGGTTCTGAAAATGGACAGAGTGAGTTCAAATTTAATGTCAGAGTGCATTATCACTGAACCTGTTGCGTTCTTTCTTAAAACCTCAGGCAAAAATGTTGTTAATTTACAATGACAAAGCAGAGACCATATAATAGATTATTATTATATGGTCTCTGGACAAAGGGACTTATCTCTGCATCATGTTATTATTTTATTACAGGTATATTCATCATAAAGCAATTGGGAAAGTCTTGTAAACTCGATCAGCATTGACAGCAAGAGACAGTACGTTATTCCCTATAACACACTAGATGGATGAAAAATGCATCGGATGCAAGTCCTAAAACATGAATGCAGAATAATCGGCGATTTAAGGTTAGATTAATTAACTGTTTTTCTATTTCATTTTATCACTTTTCTTCGCACAAAGGTTGTTTACAGAATATGGCACGTGTCTTTGCTGTTGACAAAAAATCACATCGCTTTGGCTTCCTCTTGTCCAATCAGATCATCTCTACCGTGGACGCAAGGAGATGTGACATATTTCACACAAACCTGTGAATTTTCCTTAATAAAGTACATATTCAAGGTTGACAATTATTGCCATGAAAAACAGAAACGTATTAGCACCTCACTGCATTGAAATACCTTAAGAAGCATGAAATGATGTGGAATAATATTGCAAGTAAACAACCGTCTGACCGAGGTCAACTTTTCTCCATGCGTGTGTGCAGTTTCGCGGGTAACATTACTTGTCTCCCTTGGATTGGCAGTTGTCTTCCCCTAGACTGTGCGCCAGTCTTCAGCTAATCATTAACAATAACAGAAATTCTATGTAAACACACCCTTGCCCTTATTGTAAAAACATACCCTATAATTGTATTCTGCTCTTTGATCTCACTGCATTGTTTGTCCATACTTAATTATACCTCCTTTTTCCCTTGCATATACTCAATTTACATATCTGGCTTCCTGTAGGGAGACGGTGATTTCGTAGACTGAACCAGTTCGTAGACGCGGTGGATTCGAATCCAGGACAAAATCCACCCGGACAAAATCCATCCAAAAATTGTAACCTAGGACAAAATCCACCCGGACAAAATCCACCCCTAATAAATTCCACCCTAAGGAAAAAAAACTAATGACAGAAATTAATTTTATTCATATCAGTCATTCATAATTGATTACAAAAACAACCAAAATACATATGTAAGCACATTTTTGCATCTATAAATATGACAATAGCACATTTTCACATTTCATATTTATGAATCATTCATGCATCAATGCATATATAAATATGACAATAGCATATATTTCACACATAATGAAACATCATATTTCTTGTTATTATTCCTCATGAATCATTCATGCATCACATCTTGGAACAACAGCAATTTGAGAAGGGTGGAATCCAGGACAAAATTGCTATTAACTACAGCAATTTGAGAAGGGTGGGAATCCAGGACAAAATTGCTATTAACTACAGCAATTTGAGAAGGGTGGATTTTGTCCATTTTTCTTTTAAGAAGAGGTGGATTTCGTCCGGGGTGGCAATTTTGGGGTGGATTTTGTCCGGTTACCGGTGGATTCGTAGCCTGTACATCTATATATATACTGTACTGTTCACTATCACCATTATTCACCTGAAGAAGGGGCAAGAAACGTTGTGGAAAAATAAACCAAGAAGTTGTTATCCATAAGATTTGTCTTGTATACTATTAACAATAACAGAGACTATATACCGATATATGGTCTCTGATAATAATGCCGATACCACATGAAGTAATCTATTTAGAAGCCCTCTATGCCCCGGTGTGATTGAATTGTATAGTTAGTTTCCATGCGTACTTGGGTAATACTATGTAATCTGTCATCCAAACATGATGTCTGTAACAATTCATAGATTCTGCATGTTTGGTCCATCCATCCATATATGTTCTGGAGAGTTGGGGTGGGGGGGATGGGGATGGGGTGGGAGTAATATTTATAACATTGTGCGAAAATTATGGGAAAGGGGGATTGATTTGTACATGACATACAGGGGTGGGGAAGGGGCACTTACTTTGTAAATATATTTTAGGGGGTTGGGGGTCATTCACATTGCACGTGATTTTCCATAAATATTATCATCTTCACACACACACCCCTCCATCCCCCATTGCCATAAATTATGAATGGTCCCTTATTACATTATCCATATAAACAATGCTGTCCCATAAAAATACGTACAGATGTACGGAGAAGGGTTTTCCATGCCACTTCTCTTTGTAGTGTCATAGAGTAAACCATTTCAATAAGTTTCTTTAATACTTCATATATTCAAACGACATAATTGTTTCAAAATGTATTCAAAGTACACCTTTGTCTGTTTAATGTATTCAGCAAACATTCGGTGTATCCCACCTTATCACAAACCCCCTCCGGGCAGGTCCCCTTATTCTCAATGCTATCAGTAAATGTCAATTACCACCTCCCTACGTCGGCAGATCTTACGTAATACTATGTACATGTGTACAGGTCAGTGACCTTGCACAACGTGGCGTAACAACACCTGTGTCCCTGTGTATAAAACCTGCATCATGACTGACTTGATCAGTCAGGGAGACGAGTTGGAGAGATGGTCTCTAGAAGTTTAGTCTAGGAGGCGGGCCCAGATCATCGACAGATGCGAACGGACGGTGCGGCTAGTCGGGGCGTCGGCCAAGCCCGTCGCCCTAACAACGACGACATCGACGATGAAGAATCACCGTCCGACTTCTGTATGCGTGTAAGTGACAGAGCAAGGCCACTCGGTCCCGGTGTGCGTTTTGTCATCAACTTGTACCATTTCGACCATTATTCCCTGTCGTCATCAGCTCTTCATACCCGACATTTGTCTTCTGTCCGTCAACCATCCTGAAATACCACCCGAGAGTATTCCCAACGAACGCTCTTGGTCAGTAGCATTCAAATAGACGACAAATGAAACAGTCGTTTTAATGCGTGATATTATGACTCATGTTCATTTGTGACATAATCGCGTCAACGCGTATATATATATATGTCGACAGAGGAACTAGCTCATTATACGTTGACGAAGACGAAGGAATATGATGAGTCCAAACTTCTCAAGTATGTTATACAATAAACGGATTAAATTAACAAAGAAGTTGAGCAGTGATTACAACTTTACTGTACATTATGGGAAGTCCCACAAGCAGGGTTATCCTACTGGTTGTCTCAGGGAATGCCGGCATGTTGCGTTGTTGTTTCAACTATGGGGGTCGTATCAAATATCCATGTACAATTTACAAGGGGTAGTCCATGTATCACTGAAGAAAATGATAAAAGAAATATGTTGATGTGAAAAAAACATGTATTCTGACCAACAATATTACGATAGACATAATATCATCCACTTATTGAACATTCACAAATTTACAAATCGATTATGGACAAATAAATGGCATTTTATTCTTGCAGAGCAACTGACATAATTCAATAATCGTTACATGATATTATGTCAATGAAAAGGAGACGTAACGACATTTGCACAGATAACAATAACATTTACAGTAACACATCATAATCATTCACAGTCCCACATAATGAGACACAGTATCATGGTACTGCTCTCGACTGACAGTGAGAGTGAGTTTAGCTTTACGCCGCACTCAGCAATATTCCAGCTATATGGCGGCGGTCTGTAAATAATCGAGTCTGGACCAGACAATCCAGTGATCAACAGCATAAGCATCGACCTGCGCAATTGGGAACCGATGACATGTGTCAAACAAGCCAGCGAGCCTGACCACCCAATCCCGTTAGTCGCCTCTTACGACAAGCATAGTCACCTTTTGTAACAGCATCGGTTGCCGAAAACCTATTCTACCCCGGATCTTCACGGGTTCTCTCGACTGGCATATAGCCACGAGGTCATCTTTCATGTTGACGGTTTAAGTACAGCCTGGTGTTGAGGGTTTACTCCCGGAATGCCGGCATGTCCGTTTTGAACTCTCGCTCACTTCAGGAATTTCTGAATTTCGCTCATCTAAGATTAGGAGGTGTCCCCCATAATCCCCCATTGTCTAAGGATTAGCACGCTTCATTGCTTTGCCTACCTTAGACAATACCTGCCGGCATTCAGGGAAGTACCCATCCTACTCACGGCCGTACATACAGGTGCAGTCGGAGTATCAGACTGTGTGACAGTATAGATGTTAGTCCAGGAGGAGGCAGCTGAAAAATTTCAAATCGTAGCCTCCCCAGTACTGATTTTGTTTGACACTATTTTCAGTTAGTATGATGTCTTGGGCTCATGAAAAGGCCTGTAATACTCTCAGATTGTGGTATCAGGTTTTTTTTACAGGCCATTATATGTGGTGGGGGTCTGGGGGCATTTTCGTCACATTTGGTTTGCTGCCCGACAACACATCAAAGTTAATCATTAATAGTTTTACTACTATCAATCTGATCACTTTCATTTTGACTTCTGTGTACAGCTAAAGGATGTAGAAATTATTTGACATAATTTTGTTTAGAAAAAAAAAAATCAAAATGGCCGCCATTATGGCCGCCATTTTGTTTTGTCGTGTTTTGCCTTCTCAGCACTTAAATCTACATAAACATGAACACCGAATTTTTCCATTTACATCCAAAGTTGATACTTTTGATGTGTTTTGACACTTGTTTCTCCTAGAGTGATGGCTTGGGCACAAAACAAGTCATTTTGTATTGTCATAGCATGGTCATTTACTGTTTTACAGCTTATTCTTTGAGACAGGGGTATTTTGGCATTTCTCAGACTGTTCATGAAAATGTGTGAGGGTGATTTATTTAATGGCAGATAACATTATTTTTGTTACTAAAACAAGTTGTTTTTGTTTTCTCTTTACTTCTAGAGTGACGGCATATTATTAGGAATGTTTACATATTACCCAGAATTCAAAATGGCCGCCAAAATGGCCGCCGTTGTAGTTTAACTACATATACTTAGTGGAGGACTAAATTTGTACTGATATGAAATCCAAGCAAATCATTTGGTGTCTAATGTTGAATACAGTATAGGAATAGAGCTAAATTTCAATGATAAGGTCATTCAAAGCTTCACACTCCTAAAATATTTGATGAAATAACATTATCCAAAAGTGTTTGAAAACTATGCTTCATGGCCGATAACTGCGTCTAGGCTTTGGTTGTAGGCATTCAAATTGTTCTATCAGATAACTCTTAATCACTTCTGATACATCCATAAGCTTGCAATTAACCCTCCTTTTCACTTTCTTTCATTTCATATGTTACTTCATGTCAGAATCGGACCTGTGAAGATCCAGGTTAGAATGGACCTTCAATAACCCATGCTTGTCGTAAGAGGCGACTAACGGGATCGGGTTGTCAGGCTCGCTGACTGGGTTGACACATGTCATCGTATCTCAATTGCACAGATTGATGTTCATGCTGTTGATCCCTGGGTTGTCTGGTCCAGACTCGATTATTTACAGACTGTCGCCATATAACTCGAATATAACAGAGTGCGTAAAATTAAACTCACTCACTCACTCATGTCAGAATCGGAGTCATCTACTGGCAACAAGTCAAATATGTTCGGGCAACAATCATCTACCATACAAATAGACATGTCTCTGTGCACACTATATCATTCTTTCTGCTGGCATGCTGACTTTTTGCATTTACACGATGTCAGTTCAACCAATCCACGGGGAGCAGGATCTCTCGACATCAGAATAGGAT